CCCCCCCCCCGAAAAAAAAATCCTCTTAAAATCCAGCAAAAAACAGAATCTGCAACAAGGAGGGAGATCAAATCCACTGGACTACCAATCCAAATGAAGCCTAAGTAAGCTAAAAGCACCTCAAATGTACTGCTCCTGATAACTCCCTTCAATGCCAGGACCTGTATCTCCAAAAGAACACTGATCAAAGTTTACTGCAAACTTAAACAAGGGGCATACAAAGGGGCCATAAACAACCTAGGAGGAAAAAATTCACCATGAACCACTATATTAGTAGAGAATCCACTGGAATGTCTCCACATCTCCAATTCAAGGATCAAATAAACAACTTTAGTGGAATACACTTTTGACAAGTCATTAGAAGAAAAAATATGAAATCTACAACAAAGATATTTGGAAAAGTTAAAACCATAACATAAGCAGCTGTTAACTACCTAAACCAGCTTACAAGAGGAGTCTTTAAGGGCAAGAGATAGGATTCCCAAACTGTTCCAAATACTTCAAGGAATGATCAAATAGTGACCAAAACTTTACTCCAAGGCCTTGGTTGTTTAAAGAAAAGTTCTCAAGACCATTGAAGACGGAAGGAGACTCTTAAGAAAGTCAACAATAATTAATTTTCTCCTGCACTCTAAGGGACCGATTAAGAATGCCAATTTCATGGCCAAAAATGGTGCATACCCCTGAATTTCCCACCACTTCATACAACTTTGCTTCTTTGAAAAATAACTAAAAGATAAAACAAAAGGCACCAAAAATATCAGCTCTTCCTTGCATTTATACTCTAAAAAAAATACTGGACCCTTCTCAATGAGCAACCATATAAACTTTCAGGAATAAACATTTAATTATCTATTCACAAAGAAAACAATAATCACTTAATCCTACTGGTAAGTTGACACTTTAAATACTTACAAGTATCAGATTGTTGTCCAATCTTTGACATGTCCCAAACCTAAACCAAAAGAAGAAACTTAATAAACTTTCGGAACTTAAGCATTTTTTCATAAATTATGAAGAAGAAAAGCAGTACCTTTACTGATGAGTCTGAGAATCCACCAGCAACCAAGGATCCATCATGTGATATTGATGAACAATTTAAACTAAAAAAATTTGAAGAGTCAGTACTGGAGCAGAAATAGAAGTCAAGAGTGCTAGAAATAGTTGATAAATATTTATCAGCTAAGACTGGATGACCAGTACCCATTATGTGTATTAATGAATGTATAGAAGCTGACTGATGGCAGGGCCAAGCTACCCAACTGTACACGGTTCCTTAGGTCCTCAAGAATAGAATGCTCAACTTCTGTTGGTCTGGGAAAGGGCAATAAATAATGAGGATTTCAACAGCATATATAGAAACCTCAGCTAATGATCATTAATGTCTATGTATGTACTCGTTTGCCCGAAATAGCATAAAATCCATTAAAAGATAATTAAACATCAAACAGTTCAAATTTATTTATCCATATCCTATTGACTCTTAAGACATGCAGAAATATTGACGACACGAAAAAAAACTAAGGCAATGGAGTCTCATGTGATACCACCAGTTTCTATATTAAACAAATGTCACAAATAATATCTAGGTTAGCTACTTAGTTCTTTCCCATTTTCATATAATAACAGTAATAATTAACACAAATTGATGAAAAAAATTCCTTAGGTATTCCAGTTTCTATATATGAAATCTGGCCAATAAGCAAGTCCTATCAATGATGGCGACTGAATTTTACCATACAAAGCATTAAAACAGAGATTCTGGGCAATTTGGTTAAAACCATCTGCAAAGCTTTGGCATGTCCTATTTATTTGCTGGCACATCCTAAAACACCAAAAAAAAAAAAAATTTGCCCCAACCTGGATTCGACAACTAAAACAAAAGAATTATAATGGACACAGAAAAATTGCTCAGAAAATATCCTCATGAACAAGAGGAACCAATGCCATGCCTAGAATCAGGCACAGTACATAGACAATCAGCAACCCCAAATAACAAATACCCATAGCTAATGCAGGCGGAAGGGCTCATCCCCCAGGAGAGAGAGAGAGAGAGAGAGAGAGAGAGAGAGAGAGAGAGAGAGAGAAACAGATATGACTCCTCCATTTCTTGGAAGGCTGTCAGGAAACACATTAGCATAGTTCTCGAGGCAACACCAAGGCAACTAGGTGGTTTTCAAACTTCGCCTCGCCCAAACGCCATGTAAATTTTGTACAAGTCACACACACCCAGTCAGTTAGGCACACACCTAGGCGACTAGGCAGGCACCTAGATCCAAGACACATTAATACATTTGTTTTTATTTTCAGGTCAGAATCAAATAGAAGAGGGAGAGCTGCCCAATCAGATTCATTTCATACACAGTCCAACTCCAACCTGTAGCTACATAACCAAAAAGGACATCTTAACAACTTTTCAGTTTTCAGTCCAACCTGGACCACTTATTCTTCTTCTTAACCTCTTCATTTTCAGCCCTTTTTTCTTCCTTTTCGTTAGTTTTTCCTCTTCATTTTCTTCTGTCTTTTCCATACGTTGTTTGTGTGATTTTTTTGGAATAATACAGGGGCTCCGCCCTCTTCTTTTCTTCTTCATTTTCCTGCACTCTTTTCACCCTTTTTGCATCTCCAAAGGTGGTATGCAAAAAGGACTCTGCTCCTTTTTGTATCAGCCCACATTGGTCTTTTTTTTTTTGAGAAAAGGTTAACTGAGATTGGTCGATTCTCAACAGTTACAAAGAATTTCCCATCTGAATTCAACATCTCAAAGCATGGCAGGATAGCTTTGTTTCCTAGATGAAGTATGTGATGGCTTTGCTGATACAGGAAAACTAGGGAATAAACTAGTTGATACACCCATTGATTTGAACAACAAAATAAATCCTCAAGAAGAGCTAAAAATTATGTCCTCCCAATATCTTGTAAAATTCTCATATTTCAGCCCCACAAAATCCCTAAACATTGTTGCCCAGTTGACCAATGTCCTTTGAATTTTTCCTTCAGCATCCGAATGGGTGAACTTTTTCCATCAGGGATACAACAATTTCTTTTTTTTTCTAAACAACAAGGAGCAAAAAGAAAGGGATTCCATAGAATGGTTCCTCAAGTACAGAACCCTCTAACAGGCTTTTTCTTATTGATATCTACATTATACCATATATTATCCACGTCATTTCTATGGAAAAATCAAATGGAAATAGAGAACATGGAGATTACATTTCAGGCAATGAAAGCTCTGGTTTAACCCGGGGAGCCATGGATACAATATTAGTCTCAGAACGAATGCTTTTTCCTGTTGTACCAACAACTTTGTCCTTTTTCAACTTCTTGACTGAAGCACCTTGCTTGCCTCCATCCACTGATTTCTTCTGAGAAAGAGGAAAGGGAAAAGATGTTATATTAAATATAAGCTCCCAATGTGGAACATTTAGATGAGAAGTCATATGGTGCTGAAAACAACATAAAGGAAAGAAAATATAATACAAAGAAAATACAGGATGGAGAAGTCATGAAACACGTGAAAAAGCAATCACAGTACCTTGTTCTCTTCCACTTCTCCCTCTTTGGTTTCTCCTTCAGGCTTTTCAGAATCTGACATCAAAGCCCCTGCCTTCTCTAGACGCTCTTCTAAGGAATCTTCAAGCAACTAAGGAAAAACATATGGTAACTGATAAAATTTTGGCAATGAACAATCCTCAGACCAATATAAAGCACACACTTCCATCAGAAACAGGAATATTTCCTAAATAGATAAATAAGATATGGTTTACTCTTAGCATGGAAAACAAGGGCAAAAGGAGACAAATAACAAGGAGAATTATGTGGAGATGTGCTCGTGCTGCCTTGACTTGGACTCTTTGGGAGGAAAGGAATCTCAGAATTTTTCAAGATAAGGAAAGGAACAGC